TCTCCAACTATTACAATTGAAAGTGCGTCAGTTGCGGGAGTTAAAAAATCGTGTTTTGATTATTGAAACTCTTTGATTAGCATTTTGACTACTCTTCACGATTATAAACCTCTTTCACCCAGAAAATACAGCTCTCTGGCGGAATGATACCCCTAACGGCTGTTCGGTCTGAAACCGCGTCAATTTTTGCGCACTTAAGGCTCTCTCATACGTCTCTTTTAGTACGAATGGGGCGGATTCCGCTGTTTTAGCTGAATCAGTAATTTCATTGAAATTAGAATAGACGAATATTGAAGGAGACTCTATTTCGAAAATTTGAGCGTTATGCGGAACTCTTCAGTGATACGGCAGTGATAATAAGCGTCAGTAGTTGACAACAGCCCCCTCTCATCCAGAGTCTTGAACATTTTCTGGATCCTAAGGGTCATATTATAGTCGTTCAGAAAATAGTATTCATTCCTTTCCTAGTTCCTTTACTTAGGAAACCCTCACATGATTTCCATCGTGATTAATGGAGGATAGAAGAGATCCTTTATACGGCATCATAAAAATAACAATTTTTGCTCACCTGGAATAAAATTCAGCAGTAAAACTTTGGAAACAGACCCTTGCAAGGAATTCGCCTCTAAGAAAAATTTAAAATCAAAACGAGCATTTTTGGAAGTTATGAAAAATTTTAAGGTATAAGTTCGCTCCTACCTCATACTTTGTCAAATTAAAAAAAAATTGCATTTTCAATTTTTCCCAGTGGCAAATCCTTAAATTTTCTTGGAAGGATCCATCTTCAAAGTTACATTGATGAAATTTTCATGAGCTATGTTTGATGATCCTCAGCCCGTGACAAGATATTACGGAGAAAAAAATTTCGTGCGTGGGACCCGAAGTTGAGGTCATATGGATCTATGAAGTTTTCGGGTCACGTATCTAAAAACTTGAAGTTCGGGTCACACATCTGAAGTACTCCGGTACATACCGAAGTGCTCGATGTCTGAATTTCCGAACTTCGGCAGCTGTACCTCAAGTTTTCGGATGCGTGATCAGAAAACTTCAGAGATCCATATGACCTCAACTTCGGGTCCCTTGCAAGAAGTTTTTTTCCCCGTGTCCATTTAATGACAATTTAAACAGCGAGTAACAAGGCTAATTTTCACATAAATACCACCAAAACGTGTCGGCTGAAAACTCAGCCTTCCTCAGTTGTATAAAAACAGTGAACAATTGTAAAAATCTAAAAACTTAGTACTTGACTGTACCTTTCAGCGCGAAAAAAATTTTGTTATGAAAGGAATTTTTTGATAACGCAGTCAACAAAAAACACCGCAAACAAGCATCGATGAAACCAATCCAGCGCTTAAAGTTTCAGTCGATAGATAGCGACATCAACCAGGCGTGTATTCAGTGGATGGTACACGAAATTCAAAATAGGCCGCGCTACTCCTTATTTCGCAAGGATTGGTGGTGCAGAGCATCAAGTCCGCTCACGTCCGCGCGGGAATTACAAACGGATCCACCATGCTTTGAATTTTCGGCAGAGCCCAAGGGGAGAATTTCAAGAGCCGCCCTGCGCCGTCCGCAGCGCGCATGGCGCACGACCCGCCTTTCATTATTGCACCTCATCTAGCGTTGAGAGTTTACTAATTACTTCACACGACCAGTGTGTAATTTTAAAAGTCGAAAATTAAAAAAATAATTTACACGATACACGAGTTTCTCCGCCAGGGGGCTCTCTCCACAAGAAATCGTTCACCACCCGCCTGTTGGGTGCGCCGCGGCGTGCTGCCAGCGCAGAACGCGCACTGACCCCTACAAACCTAAGGGGATACTTCAAGCATTACGCAATGCGTGAAGTATCCCCTTAGGTTTGTAGGCGTCAGTGCGCGTTTCGAGCTGGCAGCGGCAGCACGCCTCGCCGGAGCGTGCCATAAACTTGCGCACAATTAATAGGTCAGGGTGATAAAATGTAGGCAATTTGACATCAAAATCGAAATTAGCGACTCAAAAAAATACCGATTTTATAACTTTCTTGATCTTTCAGTCATTATCCGACTTATTTCTTCCTATTCTTGAGTTTTGAACCATGGTGCGCCGCGGATTGGCGGCTGCTCATGAAATTCCCCCCTGTTCTCAGCCGTTGAATTTTACTCGAGATTCGTTAATATTATCCTTTTCATGGCACAATATTAGGATCTCCTCAAACCTCCCTCAGTCACAATGTAAACCATTAGGTGCCGCGCAGTAAAACGAGCCAATAGAAGAGGTCGGACATGAAATTTTCGACAAGAACTGCAAATTTTGATGTTTATTTCGTCACATTTTAAATTTTAAAAGGTGTTTCTTGAAGAAAACTTTGCAAGGAAACCAACGAAACCACTTTTAGAACCTCAAAATTGAATCAGTGAGAACGAAAACACACCAACTCGGTACCTCGAAAATGCTCACTCTTCACTAAGGACAGACAATTTTCATAAAGGTCATTGAAGTTACCGTACCTGTTCCAACTTGGACATTTATAGTTTCCTTAAGTACTTCCTCATAGGCACCAAAAATATTTTTCTTATTGTTAGACTAACATTTTTCACCTAATATGCAGTTTTGTGTGTGTCTTGATTACTTTTATTTTTTCGAGTTGGTGTGTTTTCGATTCCACTGATTCAGTCGTGTGAAAACGGAGTTATAAGCTCTTAAAGTTTCCAAATTTTGTCCGACCTCTCCTATCGACTCGATTCACTGTGTGCCGCCAGAAGGGAGGATCTCTTTAAGGAACGACTACACTGAAAATAAATTCTCGGCGTTTTTACCAAGGTCCGTTGGTACCTTTACCATCTCACTTTTTTTTACCAATTATTGGTAATTTTACCAAGACAGACTGGTAAGCTTACCTAAAAACCGGTAATTTTACTGTTTTTTCAGGTGAGAATACCACTTTTATTAGCAATCAATTCCCGGTAACTTTGCCATTTTATCTCGGTAATTCTACCACAGTCGATAAAAAATATTGGCGTTTTTACCAAGGTCCAGTAAAATTACCGAGAAAGTTCAATAATTTTACCGAGATTTCTAGGTAAAATTACCAATTCCATTAATGGTAATTTTACTAAAAAAAAAACTGGGATCAAATAGAACCCTGAATTCTTGGTAATTTTACCCTTTTCTTAGTAAATACACCGAGATTTGTTTTCAGTGATAGTAATACGGCTTTTGGAAATTTTTCTGGATCCTAAGGGTTCTCCATGGAGCCTGGTGTCCACACTCGCCCTATTAAGATTAAAGTTGATTACGGGGCAACTTGGAACACGGCCGTATGAGTCGGTGCCGCAATGCCGGCTGCAGCGGCCGTGGACCCAGGGCGGCACGGGACACGGTCACCCGGTCATCGGTACCACGGGCCGAGGACCCCCCCCCCCCCCNTCAACCTCCGCCATCTCGGCCCCGGCGTGTGGTGATGTCTGCGTTGGCAATCGACATGCGAGCATGTATGCCATTTCGCGTCTTTCGTCACCTGCTCCTGCTCCACCCTGCCTCCGCCTCCACCTCGGCCTGCGCGGCGCCCCACCCTCGTGGATCAGTGGCGTGGCGTGAATTGCGATATATCGATTGTTATGCCATTTAAACCTATGAAAAAAGATCGATTATCAGGGTGTTCGCAGCGAACACCTTAGTAATCGATTCTTTACCGTAGCTTCAAATGGCGAGATATCGATAATCGATTATTCACGCCGCGCCACTGTCGTGGATCCCGGGTTGGCGTCTCGACGCTGCCGTTGCAGCAGGACGCCCCCGGACACCGTGCACCAGGGCGCAGCGCCAGCCTCACCTCCCGAGCAACGAATCTTGCTACAAACTATTAGTGACGTATGAGCCGGTGCCCGTCGCCAAATTTCTCCCGGTTTCTTTTCTGTCACTTAGCTTGCGAGAACTTGGACCGTCCACATTTTCAGGTCTTAGGTGGACTTCATTTGAGGGGCTTGGAGGACTTTTTAAGGGAATTATTTACTTTTTTCAGATATTTTGAGGTAGAGTAGTATTTATACAGAGAGAGAAGAACGTCATATATCAGCCTTAGAGTGTCGTCAGATTTCTTTGGGTAAATTATTTCTTTCTCAGGAAATTATTTGCTTTTTTCCGGATATTTCGAGGTGGAGCCGGATTTTGAAAAGGAGAGAAGAACGTCATATCAGCTTTAGAGTGTCATCAGATTTCTCCGGGTAAATAATTTCCTGAAAAAGAAATAATTTACCCAAAAAAATCTAACGAAACTCTGAGACTGATATGACGTTCTTCTCTCTTTGTGAAAAAAACTACTCTACCTGAAAATATCTGGAAAAAGTAAATAATTTCCTGAAAAAGAGATAATTTACCCGGAAAAATCTGGCAAAACTCTAAGGCTGACATGACGTTCCTCTCTCTTTGTCAAAATCCTACTCCACCTCGAAATATCTGGAAAAAAATAAATAATTTTCTGGAAAACACTGGAAAAAAAACACATTGTATCTAGAGTCCAGACTCTAGAAAACATTGACAAGAAAAAATACTCTTGATTCAATCAAATTTTTGCTTAAATTAAGAGGAAATCCGCTCAAATCAAGAGGCTTGGTTCTTGATTTAAGTAAAAATCCGATTTAATCAAGAGTATTTTTTCTTGTCGATGTTTTTAAGAGTCTGGACTCTAGATCCAATGTGTTTTTTTTCCAGTGAAGAGATAATTTACCCGGAGAACACTCTTCTGACGACACTCTTCGGCTGATACGGCGTTCTTCCTCAAGACGGCCCGACGGTGCGCGTGCGGCGCCTGTCGGGTCAGCTGGAGCACGGCAGGGCCCCGTGGGAGCAGGGGGGCAGGGGGCACCGGAGCCGTAGGTTCAGCTCCAGAGGGCCCGAATCAGCTGAGCGCCACCCTCCACCATCCCAGTCGGCCGCGGGGGGCTGCGGGGGGCTGCGGGGGGCGCTCTCTTTCTCCGGCTGATGCCGTGCCTTTCCGTCCTTCTCCTCTTCGGCGCGGCGGTCGTTGGCGGCGGCGCGTTTATTTTCATTCATTCATTTGCCTGGCTCCTTTCACTCGGCCCGTCGTGCCCGAACCGAACCCAATTCCGAGTCCAACTGGGCCGCGCGCGCGCCGCACCGTCGGTTCATTAGTCCGAAATCAGTGGTTCGCCCTTCGCCGTGGGAATATGTGCCCGTCCGCGTCCGAGCTCCGACCGCCACCGCCGACCGAGATCCGCTCATCGCTCCCTCCCCAAGCCTCCTGACACCCCCTCAACCAACCCCAACGGAGCCCACCCTCTCCCTCTCATCCGCTTATCGAGGTGTAAACTCTCCTCCTTACGCAGTTGATAACGCGAACGTTGTTCGTTGGTCATTCACCTCGGCGAGCGCCGGAAAATTTTGAATCCTACAACCCCGATCCGATTTCTCATCCTTACACTCATTCTTACTCTACTTGCTCGCTTTATTTACTCTATCGAGTTTAACTTCAACGTTTTTTGTTGATACTTCGCCGCCGCCGGGAAAAAATTGAAAAATATTGAAAAATCTGGCTCCCAAGAACCCAGATACCGCCCTCCCTTATCTTTACATTATTTTTCAAGTGTAGATTTTTTGCTAACCTTAGTTGAATAAGCTTAACTTAGACGTCGTTCGATAGTGTTATTTTTTTTTCTTTTTTTTTTTTTCATAAAGGTTTAAAAATTCGGTACCACACAAGACCCCCTATCACTATTCCTTATCATCACGCAAGTGTAATCCTATACATTTTCGCTTTACTTAGTCGATAAGCTCAACTTAAACATCGTTCGCTAGTGATTCACTTCGGTAAGTGTAATTCAAAATCTTTCAAACGCAGTACCATTATCATCAGATCGAATCGTAGCTCTGATCACGTCCTCGCCTTATTCAGTGCATAATCGTACTTTTTTGCTTGACCAAGTTGATTAACTCAACTTGAAAATTGTTCGTAAGTGGCCCGCTTTGGTGCGTGTTACAAATTTCGGATCCGAGGAAAGGAGGTTACAGCCGACACGGTGTGCGGTGCCTTAAAGAGAGATTCTCTCGCCACGTCTCACGTCAAAGATTGTTCCTACCAACTGCTGAGATTTAATTCTGATTCGGCTCTGATCCTCCTCGTTTCAACAAATTTGTGATTGTGTATCTGGGCCTCTGTATAGCGTGCTACCTTTGCACACAGAGCCAACGATCTCCTTTTCAGGCATCGGTAAGTTTTGCATCATCTGTCATCATTCATCAGAAAAAGTGTCATGGTTCTAAAGAGTGTCTCGTAGCTCTTCCCTATTTCCAACCTTTGTGGGTGTAGTGAGGCGTCCATTTGGGCTAACTTAAGTAGAGAGAGATGAAGACATATTTTGAGAGAAATGAGTCGGGGGTTCTTTTGAATGTAACCACTTGGCGTTGATTACTTGTAATGTTGAGTCTTCCTAAGGAATAATTCTTTGAACTTTTTTCTCGGTTCCATCTTGGCATGACTTGGTTCTTTCCTATTGAACCTCGGCCCTGCCAGAATGTCTTGTGCCACTTGAAGAGACTCAAAACTTGTTAATTTTACCGAGAACACGAAATATTTAGTTGAGAATATAAGGAGAAATATTTCAAATCTAAAAATACAAATAAAGAAACCGAGTTGAGCATTTTTCAAACAAAAAATTTAAGTGAAGTTGCATCCACAGTTCTGTATTTTATTTCTATTTTTCGAAAGTCTATCGATTAATTGATCATTTCCGATGTTTTTAGACCTTTTTATCTAACATTTCCAAAAGTATGATCATGCTGTGCTCACTGCGTCAAAGCACAATGCACCCTATGTGTGTCAAAATGGGTAAAGCATAATTTGAGAGTTCAATAGTTTGAAATACCCGTAAATCGACGTCTTGAATGGAAATGGCACATCCATGGACAGAAAAAGTTGCAATGTACACCCGAGGACAACATTTGAAGTCATTTCAAAATATTTCTCGATAAAATTTTAGGACAAAGAAATAAATTCACTTGACGCTTAGCATAAAAAATGCTCAAGCAAAAAAGTTCGAGCATTCAGCAGGGTCTAGTCAGTGGTGAAAGGGTGGCTCAAGAGGCTTCGAACGGGGGTCGTGTAGGGGCCCCCCAAAACTTGAAAAATCCGCATTAAGGCGGACTTTTGGTTAGATAAGGGGCCCCCGAAAACGTATCAGCACCCTAAGAATTTTTAAGCAAGAGCGACAAAGGGCATTCAGTGGACATTTTTGGCAGTGGCGAGGCTTGAATGATCCACATTTGAAACTATGGTAAAGAATCGATTATTGAAATGTTCATAGCGAACACCCTTGTTGTCGATTCTTTTTCATAGGTTTAAATGACAGGTTAATCGATATATCGCAAAGCACGCCACGCCACTGATTTCCGGCTAATCAACTAGGTGAATTTGAATAAAATTTCGTAAGGCACAGTCGTACAACTGGTTTTCATCGAAAATCAATTTACCAACTCAAGAGGAATTCTTAAAGGTATGTCCTCATTGAAGGGGCATTCCTGCATGTGTAAGGAGATCCACCTCTATATTCCGTAAATAAATCCGAGCAGGGGTATAATCGGCTACAGGGTTGCCATGCATGATCGCCACTGGGTAAAAAGATTATATCTTGACACTTCGATTTCCCACTTGGAGTACCGAATGTACCAACGTATTTATTCGATTGATTATAGGCGTGAGCCATTTGGAGTTCATTTTGAATGCTTATGAGAAACGACTCTGTGGGGCTTACTCATAGAAGCATCCATCTGCATAGAAAAACAAATGAAACTTAACCTGGCCTCAACTTGGCGAACATTCGTAAGCTTGAAACATAATTTCAGAGAAAATCAATGGCACCATCTTGTTTTGCATTTTACGTAGGATGAGGAACTTACATCGCAAATCCAAGTAGAGCTTTACTAAGAAAAAAGTGGGGCCTCTTAAATTTCCTCCGCACGCAACACGCACTGCTGTCGAGAACTATAATATTTGTATCCGCAGTCATTAATTTCACCGTCAAGTTGTGTCCGCCCATGCTCAGTTCAAATACTAAATTGCACCCGTTTGCGCAAAAATGAACCTCAAGAATTAAACTCGAACTTTAAACCTTGAAGGCATTGACACTACAGTAATGAAATGTGTATGTTCTTTTATAAAAATGAAGTTCTGCACTGGATATATTTATGTAAATGTTTAAAACACAATTAAGTATTACATTTTTGAGGGTTGAAACCGCGATGAGAATTCAAAAAAAAGTCTCTGCGATCCTGATCTAATGCAGTTTTTACCGGAAATAATCGCCTTAGAAACTAGGTCAGGGATTAGAATCAAACGCCAGGATGAATAAGTAGAGATGCTATTTCACAGAATGAAATCCCTTGTTTTGCACCGATGTACCCACGATGTTCCAAAGAAAAGCGTTTTTACGCTTGGCGTTAAAAGAAGACACATGCACTACATGCGTATCTACTTGAATCACACTAAAAGCATCCTCCAGGGACTTAAACGCCAGAATGAACAAGAAGGGATGCCATTTCAAAATATAAAAGCCCATTTCACACCAATTTCCCCTGCAGCCTTGACTGTCAGCCTTGTTGACAAGTGTTAGTCGGGTAAACATAGATGACAATGGTTAAAAGGCGGAGCGTGATTGGTCGGCGATAAGACATATCCGACCAATTATGCTCCAACTTTTAACCTAAGTCATCTGTGTCTACCCGACAAACATAAAAATTCTACGATCAGGCTGCGATGCTCCAGGGAAAAGAGTTGCGCTGTTTGATACAAAAAGATTGAACAAATAGTGGATGCTCAGAGACTCAAACGCACGGGTAGGAAAGTAAACGTGTCGATTTCGACTATAAAATCCCTGAATTTGGCGCTAAACCGACAAGAAAACATTGATATTATAATTTGTCCGGTAGCCATAAGCAGAAAACTGCCGTGCTAAGGAAAAACACCGTACGAAAATTCAAATGTTGCCAAATTTTCTCAAGATAAAATATAATGAGGGAAAATGATAAATTATTGGATTTGAAAACCTTTACTGACCCCCAATACTTAACACAGATGGTGTTGAGTAGATCTTTGTCAGGTTTATAGGGCGGTGAATGGTCTGAAAAAGTGTTTACGGCGGTAGAATCGCCTTCAACAAGATGATTATGCAACACTACGATGGCGGAGTTTGAATAGTTATCTCACGAAAATCCAGGAGCTTGCTAGCAAACGCCCGCCGCTGCGCTGTCCGCTATCAAGACTGACGTAGGATTAAAAAATGATACTTGAAATCTTGACTACGATTTTACCATGAAAGGACTGATGTTCCGATTACTAAAGTTGCTCCTGTCTTGACAATTTACATGTATATATTCCGGCTTAGAGGAAGGGCAGGGACAGAAGTTAAATATGGAAGCTCAAATTTCTGAACATTTTAGTTCCTGAGAGTGCGGGACAAGAATTAGTTATTGAAATAGTATAGCTTGAGGTATATAAGAATTATTGATTATTCAAGGGACACATTTTTATCACTGATTTTTATTCCTAAACGAGCAGAAAAAATGCTTTAAAACAATTGAAATTTTATGCGAGATTTGTGAATAGCGTTTTGTGATATAGGTATTTCGTTTTTTAAGATAAGGCTCTCCTACATCGCTTTCCAGACAAAAATGTGATGACCTGCAAATGTAAGAAAGTGCCCTGAGAAGCGTAAAATTTGAAAATGAATGTTCAAATTTTTGGAAAAATTTCAAAATGTCAAAAATACGGAAAATTGTTCGCCTTTTTACGGAGCTGATCTTAGAGAAAACCAGAGAAACAAACGTGTTTACTTTCGTATTTGACATTGTGAGACATTTTGAAAATAGTAGCAGGAATAGGATTCAATGAAACTGACTTTTTATTTTGCTAAAAAGAAGAAATGATACCTCTGGTTGATCCGTAGTAGGACATTGTAGAGAGAAACTAGAACTAGCGGCACACATCTTGTTTTGTGAACAATCCAAAAATTCTGGCTCCTTGTTGTAAAATGTATAGTCCAAATATCTTCGATGTGTCAATGACCTTTTATCAGGGAAACGGGACTTATCTATGCCGGAAAAAACAAAGCCGGGTTTGTTATTTCTCGGTTGACGACAGGAGGAAGTGTTTTCGTCCTCCTGTTTGTCGTTTTGTTTCTTTTACATTTTATTCCGTTGACATGTAGTTCCGTCCGTTCCGTTCTGAGTTTCATTATTTCCTTTTACACCAAAACGTCTCCCAGTTTTCATTTCGTTATTGACTCTAGCCTCATATTTGTATTTTGTTTTTGTTTTTTGGAGATTTTTCCGTATTCTTTCTCTATGGACTTTCCTCTTTCGTCACTTATTGCTTTTAATCGGAACCACGTGTATTACACAGCAAACTTCAAAATGCTAGAATTCCAGTTTGGTTTGGCGTTTTTCAGGGATTTTTAGTTTCAAATCTTTCTTGAACACTCAGTCTTCATGCTGTGGACTAAATAACGCAAAGAGCGTTCATGCACCACGTTCTCTTTTACCATTACCAGATACAAGAAGACGGGCTTTTGGTAACCAATGAATGTACTTTTTAGTTGCTTAGAAGAACTCTATTTGCACCATTATGCAGTTGGCTTTTTGCAACCCTCAGAACCTCGTCGTTGAGTTGCTCAAAGAACTGATCCCTCAGATTGACAGGAGCATCATCATTCACACCATATACTCCTATCAGGGCCACTTGATGACCATGCAGTATGAGATGCACTTTGATGATCCGCTGGTCTACTGGTTCCCAAGTAGTTACAGACGGACGCAAACTTTTCCGAATAAGTATGGCGACTCCTTGTTGTGCGCGTTGATCTTTACTGACTCCACTATAGAACAGATCATAGCATCCCAAGTTTTCTGATCCTGTGCCTTTTTTTCGTTTCTGTTAACACGTAGACATCGATATTATACTTTTTTACCTCCGATACAACCCCTGTCAATTTATTAGAAATGCCCTGTACATTCCATGTCCCAAAAACCATTGCCCGTTTTCTTAGTTAGTGTCGTAAAATCCGTTTTTTTTCCATGTTCATCGAGGCTATCTTTATTAGGCTTCTTAACATTAAGATTTTTCCAAGTATCGGGGAGTTAGCCCGATGCCCCAACCCCCAACCTGGAGGACCAGGGTTTGATTTTGGAGTACCGTCTCCTAGACATGCAGGCTGCCTC